GAACAAGACGTGTACCTCACTCACATACAGGGCAGCAAACCCTGGCCAAGAGCACCCCGTGGTGGCTAGAGAAAGGCAGAAGGCAAAGCACAGCTGGCTGACGATACTAGGTTGTAAGCCTTTTTCGCCTGTGGGCCTCCAAACTCCAGGCAACTGTGTTAGTAGGTCTCCAGACAGTGGATGCCACCAGTTTCTCCTAGTCGAGTGTTGGCCTGTCTTAACACTGCAGTGCTTGACTTTGCAACCTTAATGGTCTTCTAGCAGATTTTTCAGGATGTAATATGCTAAGTTTTTTCAACATTTAAAAGCCAATAATTTCATCCCATGGAACTGCATTGGCTTCCGTCCCCACCACCTGCTCTGTCATCAGCAGGGCTGGGATCTTTAGCTCCACAGCCCAGTCCTCCACCCCTGGAATTAATGGCAGCAGCAACAGGCAGTTGTCTTCTCTGTGGACCTGCCACCAGAGGGGGATGGAGACACCTACTTTGTCACAGGGTTTCACAGCTGTTTGCTAGACCACAGCAGGATGCTGAAACTCTCGACTCCAGGGTTCTGTTGAACTTTCCTGTTCTGCAGAGGAGTGTGCTGGTTGCTTTCCATATTTTCTATTCTTTTGCATATTGGGATGGATAGCAGTGTGGCCAAAACGTGGCCTGTGAATGGTATATGGCAATTTTACCATTAAAATGTGGCTTGTGGAGCCTCACACGCCCAACCCCATTCTCCACCTACCAGACTTAGGGTACGTTTACACAGCAACACTATTTCAAAATAACTAGTGCTATTCCAAAATAACCTAGCCTATGTCTACACAGAAGGCGGTTATTTCGAAGTAGTGTCAAAATACTGTCAAGCTACAGGACTTCTTACTCCGACTTCTGTAACCCTTATTGTACGAGGAGTAAGGGAAGTAGGAGGAAGAGTGCTCTATGGCGGAATAAGTGATGTGTAGACACTCTCTATTTCGAAATAAGATACACAATTAATGTAGCTCAATTTGCGTAGTTTATTTCGCAGTAAGCCCTGAAATGTAGATGCATCCATTGGGTGTGTCTACTCAACAATGTTATTTCGGAATAACAGCTGTTATTCCAAAATAACTATGTGAGCGTCTACACAGCAATTCCATTATTCCAACTTCTGTAAACCTCATTCTATGAAGAATAACACCTATTTTGAAATAAGGTATGTGAAGATCGGGTATGTCTACACACAATTTTTATTTCAGGAGAAGGATGCAAATAGCTCTGCGTATTTGCAAACTTCCTCCGGGTTTTTTTTCGGAAGATGCTCTTCCGGTATTTACCCATGTCTACATGCGTCCAGATTTCAAAATAAACCCCTATTTTGAAAGACCCCTGTAAAGCTCATTGTAGGAGGAATAAGGGATCTTTTGAAATAGGATTTTATTTAGAAATAGGAGTTTATTTAGAAATTTAGACACATGTAGACGCGGTTAAATACTGGAAGAACGTCTTCCAAAAAAAAGAAAAAACCCTGGAGAAAGTATGCAAATGCGCAATGCTATTTGCACCCTTCTCCCAAAATAAAAATTGTGTGTAGATATACCTGATGCTCCACTTCTGTTATTTCGAAATAGCCCCTCACCAGAGCCACTCTAAGTTATTCCTCCTAGGGCTCTAAATTGAGATAACACGTCTATATTAGGGAAGCCTGCCTCGGACTAATTTTGAGGCTTCCCTGCAGTGTAGACATGTTATTTTGAAATAAGCTATTTTGTAATAACTATTCTGGAGTAGCTTATTCCAAAATAACTGTGCAGTGTAGACGTAGACATAGTAATTTAGTTGGAGTCGGTCCTGGTTTTGGTAGGGGGCCGGACTTGATGACCTCTTGAAGTCTCTTCCAGCCCTAGGATTCTATGAGACTGGGATGTGGGGAGCTAGGGGCTTCTGCCTTATGGGGAAAGTGGTCTTGGGCCTTCCGCTCTGCAGCAGGTGGCTGAAGCTGCAAGCCCGCCAGGCCTGTAGCCCCACACACTGGCTGGCGTGTCCCACAGACACTACTAGCCCTGAGCCCCAGCTGGTGCACCCAGCTCTCACACTTCTGAAGATTTTTGTATGCAGCTAAGAGGTCAGTAAGTTTGGCCAACCCTGTTATATAGCTAGTGAACTGCTATCTCCTTCTCTATTTGGTTTGTTATATTTTCTCTGAATGGCTCATAGCCTGGCCATCCATGGCATGTGCGTGTTTCCCAGATTAAGCTGCTTTCCCCTTTTGTTATATAACCACATCCCTACCAGCCAGCTGAGGGTCCCATGGTTAAGAAGAATGCGGGCTGATTGGGTGGAAGGGAGGCCATCTGCTCAGGAGTGCAAGGCAAATTGGCTGGAAGGAGTCTGTAATGATCTGTGTGTGCTTGCATTTATGCTGTTCTGCCACTAGATGTCTCTGTGGATTGCATAAAGTTCCAGGCAGGGGGTGATCCCTGAAAACCAAGGAGACAAAGCTGGGACTCAAGCTGTGCGGAAGCCTGGTTGTCCTATAGTTGTAACTGACTTGTTTAATAATGTCACCTGTTTAAGATGGACTGATACTCCATATGGTATGAAACCAGCCAAGGAGGCCCTTCAATCCCACAGTGACAGGCAAAATATAAGAACGTAACTGGGACACATAGATCTTCCTTTAGGGAGGGGTTGTCAAACTGTGGGTCAGGATCACATTTTAATGGGGCTGACAAGGCTGGCTTAGACTGGCTGGGCCCCACGGCTGAAGCAGAAGCCCTTAGGCTTTGGCTCCCCATGTGGAGTGGTGAGACTTGGGCAAGCTCAGGCTTTCATCTCTGCTCTGGGGGTTGTGCAGTAATTTTTGTTGTTAGAAGGAGGTTGCAGTGCAATGAAGTTTGAGAGCCCCTAGTGTAGGGGAAAGGAGATGAATAGGACTTTTCAGGCTGGGGCACCTCTTCTTCCTCCATCAAGGGCTGTGCCTGCTGGTCCCCTACTTGTATATCTGAACATATATGGCTACATCTACACAGCTTCCCTCTTCTGCAAAAGCCTATGCAAATGAATAGCAGATTAGCATATTGCTGTGCTTCATTTGCATAATTAATTAGGAGCCGTTTTTGCAGAAGAGGTTTTTGCGCAAGAGCCGTTCTTCCTCATTTTTTCAAGAAGAATGGCTCTTGCACAAGAGGGGGGTTTTGTGCAAAAAGGTGCTGTGTACATGGTGCCTTTTTGTGCAAAAACAGTGCCTAATTAATTATGCAAATAAAGAGGGGCAATATGCTAATCCACACTTCATTTGCATAAGCTTTTGCAGAAGAGGGAAGCTGTATAGATGTAGCCTGTGTGTTGTTTCTTCACAGCACCAATCTGGGCAGGAGTGGAGAGCGGGGAAAGGTCTTCTAGAGGCAGAAGCCATGCAGAGGGAGAAGCAGAGTAGCAGCAGAGATAATGCTGCTTTCCTGATTCTAAGAAAGTTCCTTGTTCAGCTGTCTCTGAGTTTATTGCTCACACCTGACACCAGGAAGGCTGGGAGGCCCTGCAACAAATCAGTCAGGAGCCCACTCCTCTTCTGCACTCATAGCAGATTGCCCTGCCTAGGGAGTGCTCACTGCACCTGCCTGAAAGAAAGGGGGCTCTGGGGAAGCCGGAATGCAAAGGGGACCCCTCCCTTTGCAAAGATGAGTGAGTGTTGTCCCCTCCTTCTCCTCCTTAATGTAACCCCTGACTGGAAGCAGCACAGCACCCCCTGCTGCTCAAAGGGGGACAGAAGGTGTAGAAAAAATTGCTTAGGTCATCAGGACATGAAACTGGTTTTTAAACTGCAGGTGCATTAGGGCTGCCAGGTGTCTGGTTTGCAGCTGGGATGTATAGTGAGAAGGGAACCTGGCAGCCTGCCGTCCGCAACTGGCCTCCACCACGGGGGAGGGGATATGGAAAAAGCAGCAGCTGCAGGCACATGGAGGCGCTGCTCTCTGCTCAGTGGCTGATGCCTGATAGAGAGCAGTGGCTGGCTTCCAGATCTGGCTCCAAGAGGTAGAGGAGGATCCGGTCTGCTCACCCCTCCCTCCCCCAACTGTTACTTGCACAAAATGTGGTCAGCCTCACACTCTAGGGACACCCACTCTTCTCTGTTTCTATGGCTCAAGAATTACCTTCCACTATAGGCACCCATCCTCAGCCTTCCATGGGCTCCGGCATAACCTAACACTCTGTGGGTTCGCAGGGTCTTTTATCCATGGAAGAGCCTCACACAGTACTATCCTATTTAACAGTCCTACAGTAAGACAGATCAACTTTTCCTGTTGGCCAAGCAGGATCAGGTCCGAAGCTCCCCCTAAGCAGCGCAGCTGTGCACTTTCCCATTAAGCCCCACTCATATCCCACTATTTTAATGTAATTTGGGCGGAATGAGGATGTGACTTCCTGCGTCTTAGCTAATGGCTGCTGCTCTTTCCATCTGGCTGCAGATGAGGGCTGTAGGCTTTAGGCCTTACAACATGGCTACAGAAAAAGGCCTTGTTCTTACATTTACACTGCCCTGCTGTGCCCTCATTGCCCTGGCCCCTCACTATGGGGATGATCCCTGCTGTGCCCCAGGCAGGCTGCATTTTAGCTTCTCCCAGTCTCACTCTGCGAGCAGGCTGCTGCTCTTTCCATCTGGCTGCAGATGAGGGCTGTAGGCTTTAGGCCTTACAACATGGCTACAGAAAAAGGCCTTGTTCTTACATTTACACTGCCCTGCTGTGCCCTCATTGCCCTGGCCCCTCACTATGGGGATGATCCCTGCTGTGCCCCAGGCAGGCTGCATTTTAGCTTCTCCCAGTCTCACTCTGCGAGCAGCAGGTAAGTCCCAGAGGAGGTGGGATTGAGCTGGGGGTGGGGAGTGGTAGAGGGAGGCGGAAGAGCAGTGAGCAGGGGCGGGGTCTCAGGAAGAGGGGGGCAAGCAATTAAAAAGTCGGCAGTCTTAACACTAGCACAGGCCCCGCCTTTTTTAGCTGTAGCCTGAACTACTGGGTGGAGGGGGGACTGACGTGGAGGGTTAAGTAACATTCTATCTATCTTCCACTTCCTCCCTCCTCACAATCTGCTGCTTCCTTCACGCTAGGTTTGACATTACATTTGTACAGGTCTTTCCTCTGGTCACCTGAGAGCATTAAGTCTGCCTGACTTCTCCTGCCCCAGGAGCCATCCTCCTCCGTGAGGCCTGAGAAATGCAGGCCATCAAGTGTGTGGTGGTGGGAGATGGGTATGTACCTTCTTTTGTGGTGGAGGGGGGCAAGAAGGGGGAAGGTTGGTTCTTAGTGAAATGTCACCTTCTTTGCTTTCGATTTCCTCTGAACGGCTTTCCCTTTTTCTGTCAGGTAGGGTGTATGGGGGGAGGGGAGGGGGCAGCCTGTGATGGAGGTTGTGCATTATGTCGGGGTGGGGAAGGGCACTTTTCAGAGCAGGTGGAAAAGAGCTGCTGAAAGACAACCTATGTGGCTATTCTCCCCTAGATGAAGGTGCCCCCTTTACAGTGTCTCCTCCTCTGCGGCTATTGATGGTGGAAGGGGAGCCAGGTTTAAAATAAGGTGGGGGAGACTAATTTCCCTTCTACTGGTCCACACCACACATGACTGGGGAGGGCACCGACACATGGTGGCAGTGGTGAATGGAGAGCGCTGTGGGTCCCCTCCTGTGGATCTGAGTTCCCATGCCTTCTCTGAGGGAGGGGGGTCCAAGGGGGCACTCCGGGGAATTTCCATGGATACAGCAGCAAGATGTTCCTTTCCCTTTTGCCGCTGAGGGGCACAATGTGCTCCGTCTGCCTGGGCTGTGCGAGGCGATGAAACCCAGGCAGCTGAGCATAGCATAATCACCTGATTTAGCCACTGCTTGGGCAGCATGTATGTGGCCTTGCCAAGGCCTTCAAGAGCAGCAGCTTCCTCAGGGCAGTACCCAGAGGGCTGCTGCCCCTGGGCAGGGAAACAAGCAGCCAGGGCCCAGGAGAGTGTCTGTGAGACCGGAGTCACATCTGGCGCTCAGAGTGAAGCCAGTTTCAGGCGGGGAGCTGTTTTGATGCTGTTATCTGGGGCAGATGAAGTGACATTGTTAGAGGCCCTGCACCCCACAGTCACTTCCTCCTTCCCACTGGCCACAGGAGGAAGTTTGCAGACAAGTGATTAAATTTTAGAAACCACCTCGGAGGCGGAGGCAGGGGCAGGCAGCAAGGGTGGAGGAAGGGCAGAGAACTACAGTACAAAGAAAACCCCAAACAAATATTGCTATGGGTCAGGAAAGTACCATAAAGATCAGAAACTAAGGATTTTGGAGCTGTACCTGAAACAACTCGCACAGGAAACACCCTGGGACTAACCCCACAACTGCCCCCACCTCCTGTCCCTTAACCCTGCTAACCTCCAACACAACAGCAGTATTCTTCCCCAAAGCTCTACCAGCCCCAGAGCCCCCTCCAAAACTGCTATCCCCATAAACTCACCATAGCTCAATGGCTGTATCCCCGTAATCAGTCCCCAGCACAATCACCCGTAACTCTCCTTCCAAACTGCTAATTCCATCACTTCCTCCACTACTGGCACTCTGCTAACCTCAGAGCCTCCCCCACACCTCTGCTTTCCCTCCCCTCCGGAGAGCCTCACTGGCCCTATAAACCTCCCATCCCTTTCTGCTGAGAGGCTGGAGCTAGGCATACAGTGATGGAGAGTGTGGGAGAGATTGAGGAAAGGGAGAAGAGAAAGGTAGCAAAAGTAGAAAGGAGGAAATGTACGGGAGAGGCACAAGAGGCATTCCAATTCCTCCTGAGTCTGCACAATGCAGCAATGGGGGCTGTAACCCTGTGACTCATGCCTGCTCTCTCTTGCCCTCCAGGCCACCTTGCAGGGGCAAACACTAGGGCTGGGTAGAAAGTCTTAGAAAGATTTTGTCGATGAAATTGGCATATGCTAAGCAGTGACTCACGTATCCTGTGTGGAGAGAGCAAGCCAGCCTTCCTCCCTTACCTAATAACCAGATCTGATTTCTCATCAGCTTCTTGCAGGACTTCATGGTGCTGCCTCCCACCAGATCAGTATTGTTATCTCCATTTTACTGATGGGGAAACAGAGGCAGGGGAAGATTGAATGACTTGCCCTAGGTCCCTTTAGCTTTCCTTGTTTGTCTTGGCTGTGATTCCTGGTCCTCTCTTTTTTCCTTCATAGTTGGTTCCCTGGCTCTCCACTATATATGGTTGGAAACTTTTCCATGAAACTTTTTTTTTTGGACAGAAAATGTCAATGCATTGAGATGGTGTCTCGGGTCCACAATGAAATTTCTGGAGAACATGCCTTGGAGCACTCAGTTTGACTGTGGGGGACACAGGTTTAAATCCCTGCTCTCCTGGCATTTCTTTGTAGTGCCTTTGGCCTGGTCTCTCACACACTAGTTAGTGTCTTCTTCTCGTGATTAGAATGTGTTCCTGTTCTGCCCACCATGGTCCACTGAAAGCTGGGTGGTGGTGGTGCTAGTCACTTCGGAGTGTTTGTCTGCACAGCAAAGAAAAACCTGCTTGCTGTGGGGCTGTTTCATTGCTGTTTAGATAGCTGGAGCCCAGGCTCTGGATTCTGCCACTCTGAAGGATTGTAGAGTCTGGCTCCAGCCTAAGCCCGGAAGCCTACCTAGCAATGAAACAGCCCGACTCAGTGAGCCTGGCATGGGCCAACCACAGGTGTCTAGTTGCTGTGGTGACATACCCTGACATACAGGAAGTCAGAGTAGATGATCTGGTGGCTTTTCTGACCTTAAACCTTATGACTCTGTGAGATGTGCAGAGAAGGAGGGTGAAGAGAACTTTGACTGTCAGAAGCAGCCTCACTGCAGGCAGCCTGGCTCGGAAGTGCCATTTCAGCTGGAAGGAGTGTGTGGTGACTATGAGGCTATGTCTACGCTGCTGGCTTTTGCCGGCAGAGGGTATGCTAATGAAGCGCTCATTAGCAGTGGTTGCACTGTCATTTGCATATTCTCTGCTGATGCTTTTTGTGCAAGAAGTTTTTGTGCAAAAACAAGCAGTGTCGACGGGTCCGTTTTAAGCTGAAAACTCCTTTTGTGTAAAATCCTTATGCCTCAAAAAGGAGGTATAAGGATCTTGCGCAAAAGGGGTTTTTTTTGCGCAAAACAGACCCGTCGACACTGCTTGTTTTTGTGCAAAAACCTCTTGCGCAAAAAGCATCAGCAGAGAATATGCAAATGACAGTGCGACAAATGCTAATGAGCACTTCATTAGCATGCCCTCTGCCAGCAAAAGCTTTCAGTGTAGACATAGCTTGTGTGGGTAGGCCCAGGAAAGCCAACCTGGTGCGGTGCTCAGACACAGGTGTTATTTCCCTGGTACTGCCGTTATGTCCCAGTGTGGCATTAGAGGGCACTGTTCTTTTGGGGGGGGGTGACATCTGGGCAGTTGCAGTCTGTTACCCTACATTTTCACTGCTGTATTCAAGGGATACATACACTCCTCCACTCCCTGTGGGAACCTCTGCATGGCCATGCACTGATAAATAGCTGCTGTGCTCCACCCCAGAGTAGCTGCATTTCAGCTAAGTGATCCCAGTGTAAGGACTGTCAAATGCCTTAACCTTCAGGCCAGAAGGTGCTAGAACAATGTAACATCTTCTCTCCTTCCTTTTCCCTCTTACACTCTCATCTGGTTGTGAAATGTTTAGATCTGGGGATCTGGATTCTCTGTTCTCCTCCAGCCCTCTGCTATGTCTGGCTTTCTGACCAGGGAAAGTGGATACTCCCCAGCAGGACTCTCATCAGTAACAGGTCCTGGGTGTGTTTTCTATCTCTTTCAGAGCCGTGGGTAAAACCTGTCTCCTCATCAGCTACACCACCAATGCCTTCCCAGGCGAATACATCCCCACTGTGTGAGTATCCAGCAGCCAGGGCTGGGGGGCCAGGCAGAGGGCAAGCGAGCAGGCAGAGGGACACAGTCAATGGGAGGGACAGCTCTCTATGCCCACAGTACTTGGTCAAGTCTCAACACTAGAAAAATAAATCATCTGGAGGCCATGAGGCTGTCTGGTATCTGGATTGGCACAGCCTTCAGTTCACCAGCTGTGAAATGGCCTTTAGGGTCCAGCTCCCTGGAAGACACAGGTGAGTGGTGCTGTTATACTACAAAGTAAAGCATCCTGGGAAGCTGCGTATAAATCACTATGCAGGCAGAGCTTGGAGCACCTGAAGCCCTCACCCTTTGGCATGGTCAATTTAAGCCAAGCTTTTGGCCACGAAAAGTCACCTCTCCTCAGCAGCCAGCCTGTGCTGCAATACTGTCACCTCCCGTGTGCCAAATGCTGTGGCGTGCGTAGCTGTGCAATGCCTTTGACTTGCTGTGTGCCAAGCTGGTTTGTATCTAGGACCCCTGCGCTGTGTGCAGAGAGGCAGCCATTTTGTTCCCCGAGGCAGCCTGTTACAGAGAAGGCCTGCACACAGTGTGCTCCCTCACGGGGCTTTCTTTTTGGCTCTTTCCTTCACTTTACACTGAGGGCTTGTGGTTGTTCTCTGCAGAGGGAAAGGTATATTGCATACGTTCGGGTTGGGAGGCCTATATGGAGCACCCACATGGATGGCACTGTTCTCTGAGCTGTCAATGAGCCTGTGTCCCATCAGGGCGCCAGTGGATGCTCTGCTCCAAGACACGAGAGCTTCCCTGGCTGTAGGCACTAGACAGGGGTGGGCAATAAAACAAAAGCAGTTTGCAAGGGTTAATCCCTGGCAGGCTGCCGCCATTATATTTACCTGCGCCTTCGCAGGTACGGGCGATTGCAGCTCCCATTGGCTGCAGATCGCCATTCCCAGTCAATGGGAGCTGTAGGAAGCAGCACGGGCCAGGACACTGCTTCCTGCAGCTCCCATTGGCAAGGAACAGTGGTGGATGGCCAATGGGAGCCACACTCATCCATACCTATGGAGGCACAGGTATCTACAGTAGTGGCAGCCTGCCAGGGGCTAACTCTGGTGGACTGGATCTGGCCCCCCAGCCATAGCACAGTTTGTAAGAGAAGGGGTACAAACCTTGGCACTCTCCTGACCAGTTCCAGTGGGGGCTTGGCAGGCCATATGGTGCAGAGTGATCCAGAGAAGGCAGATGGCATGAAACCATTGAAGACGGCAATCTGGCTTCTAAAACCAAAGAGTGCAGACCAAGGTTTAGGGAGCACAGCGCTGGAGCAGAGAGTGGGGAGGGCTTTGAAAGGGGAGCTTCCCAGGATGAGATTGGGGCTTCGCAGGCAGGATGGAGCCCCACAGGCAGTGGGAGAAACTGGAGCTGGGACGGAATTTGGGACAGCTGGGCTATGGGGAGGGAGGTTGCGGTGGGGCGGATGCAGGCACTCGATGAGCCCGGAGCCCTGGAGGACTGCAGGACTGTGTGTATCTTTCCCCCAACATGTGCACGAGGAAGAGGTGGCCTCTGGCCATGGCCTCGTATCCGCTGCATGCTCTTCTCTGGCGTTTGAGGAATCGACTCCCTCTTTTTGTGTTGCAGGTTCGATAACTATTCTGCCAACGTGATGGTTGACAGCAAGCCTGTAAACCTGGGGCTGTGGGATACAGCTGGGCAGGAGGATTATGACCGATTGAGGCCCCTCTCCTATCCTCAAACGGTGGGTCACTCCTCGGTGCCTTTCTCCCCCTCTCATGTCCCTTAGTAACATGTCCTGCCTGTGCCGGAGGACTGGGACCTCCTATCTGCCCGTGATGGAGCTAGAGTTCCTCTCCGAATTTGCCCCTCTCTGAGAGCTCACCAGCCCCCCGAAGCCCCACCCCTGTTATTTATTTGCTGTGCATCTGGGGATCCAAAAAGGATGACAGGAGCATGGGGAATATTTTGGAGATCCAGCTACATATTGTATGGTATCATTCAGAATTAAGGTGTCCCTCTGAGGCTACGTCTACACTGCAGCCTTTGTTGGCAGAGACAATGCAAATGAAGCGCTCATTAGCATTTCTCGTGCTCTCATTTGCATAGTCTCTTCTAATCCGTTTTGTAGAAGAGGTTTTTGCGCAAAAAACCCGCAGTATAGACGGGGCAAAAAACCCTTTTGCGCAAGATCCTGTATACCTGCTTTTTTGAGGAATAAGGGTTCTTGCGCAAAAGGTTTTTTTTTTGCTCAAAATGGCCCTATCTACACTGCTTTTTTTGCATAAAAGCCTCTTCCACAAAATGGATTGGAAGAGACTATGCAAATGAGAGTTCAAGAAATGCTAATGAGTGCTTCATTTGCATTGTCTTTGCCGACAAGGGCTGCAGTGTAGATATAGCCTCAGAGAAGTAGAATGACTCAGCATATTTGCGAAAGAGGCATGGGGACTTTTGTGTCTTATTGTGTCCTGAGAGTGAGCCTGGAGGGTTCTGGGTCCATGAAACAGAGCTTCTTACCATTAAACAGAGTCTGACGGGTGAGGAGAGAGAGGGATGGTGGTATCCTGCTCAAACTCCATCCACAATCACAGAACAGCTGGATGTATCTGCTAAAACAATCAGCAGTGAAATAGCTACTTATATTCATTATGACCATCAGTAGGATTCAGAGTTAACACACACCAGTGCTATTGCCCATGCTGTCTGGCTGCAGATTCAAGAAGACAACCCTGCTTCAGTTCACATTGAATAGGTTTCCTTCACAGTATGGAAGGGCTAGAAACGAAGCATCTGGTTTGTTTGTTTTTAACTAAGGTTTACATTCTGAGGATATGTCTACACAGCAGTGTTATTTTGGAATAACTAACATTATTCCAAAATAACACAGTGCACGTCTACACAGCAAACCAGTATTTCAAACCATTATTCCAAAATAACACAGTGCATGTCTACACAGCAAACCAGCATTTCAAAATAATAATAAGTCGAGCTGGAGGACTTCTTACTCCGATTCCTGTAGCCCTCATTTCACGAGGAGTATGGGAAGTCAAAGGAAGAGTGTTCTTTCTTTGACTTCCTGCTGTGTAGACAGCGCCAAAAGCTGAATTAAGTTATTTCAAATTCAGCCACACAATTGGCGCAGCTGAATTAAGTTATTTCAAATTCAGCTACACAATTGGCGCAGCTGAAGTTGCATAGCTTAATTCGACTTTTGCCCTGCAGTGTAGCTGTGTCCTGATGGAGCTGCCAGAGAGGTGTCGTTCTGAGTACCCACTTGGTCTTCCTTCTGCATTTATAGTGACTCATTTGAATCTGGCCCCATCTTGGTAGAAACCAAAATTGCCTCTGTTTGATGGTTGTTCGGTGATCTGTGGGAAATGAACAAGGGGGTGTCAATCCATTTCCTCACAGAGCCAGAGTCCACATCACAAAAGCTCTATGGCCACATTTATCAATGATCGAGTCCCTTGTTAATCATGTCAGTTGTTACCAAGATCTGACTGGCCAGGAGACCAAACAACCTTCTCTCCCCTCCAAGCAGCTCACAAATGTCAGGCTGGAGTTGCACCGATTGGGAGGGATGGAGGGAATGTGCACAGCGCTGCATCTTTTTTTTTTTTGGTGGGGAGGAGGATAACAAGAGAGCAGGAGCTCCCAGGGTTGTCAGTCCAGCACCTTTCACTAGCCTGCCCCTCTGACCCTGGACAGAATGCGACAGGATGCCTACAGCCTAATCCCCAAATGCTGCTGTGTGCTTACAGGATGTCTTCCTGATCTGCTTCTCTCTGGTCAGCCCAGCCTCTTATGAAAACGTCCGTGCCAAGGTAAGAGCGTTGCGGCTGGCGTGACAGAATCTCTGTAGAGCGGTAGAGGGGCCCGACTTGCCACATGCGGCTCAAGGAGCCAGCGAGAGCCCTACGCACATGCAGCGGCCTTGGAAAAGGAATGCTGGTGCAATGAGCATGGGCGGTAACAGCTGATGGATTATCTGGCTCCTGCAAGCTACTTTCCTTTGTGTCTCTCTCAGGAGTAGCTAGAATATTGGCCTCCCACAGCCTCTGGGTCGGCCCAAGAGAAATGAATGAACAAACCCGGCTAGATTCTAGGATCCACCAGCTGGGCTGCTCCAAGGCATGAGATCGGGCAACACTTGGTTCCCCGTTCCCACCTGGGTGCTTCCCCACTCTTGCCCTTTCACTGCTCTGGCCCCAGCAACTTTCCCTGCTGCAGCCTGCGAGTTCAGAGGGCATCTTTCAGCTGAGACCAACTTGGCACAGCTCTTATGCATGGGCAATATATGGGGGGCAACGGAGTGTTACCCCCCAACTGTCAGCTGCTATGTAAAAGGACGGGAGGCAGCGGGGGGCGCAGCCTGAGGCTGTTGCATAGCATTCTGCTTTCACCTCTTTGGTGGCCTTCCTGGGGGAAGAAAGTCCCACTGGGAGCTCCCTTGTCAGGGGCGTTGCCTCTGGACTGCACTGGAGAGCTGGTGGGAGTCTGGGCTGCAGTTGTCAACATAGGAGAGCGTGGGAGGAAACTGATTTTATTTGGCGTGTGGGTGGGTGTGTCTTTCTCTCACTCCACCCTGCCCCCGGATCTCCACCTGCCTATAGTGGTTCCCTGAGGTGCGACACCACTGCCCCAGCACCCCCATCATCCTCGTGGGCACCAAGCTGGATCTCCGTGATGATAAGGAGACGATTGAGAAGCTGAAGGAGAAGAAGTTGTCGCCCATCACGTACCCACAGGGCCTCGCGCTGGCCAAGGAGATTGGTAGGTGAAAGGCCATATTGGCCAACATGCTGAGACTTCTGTGGGAGAAGAGAGGGGTTGCGTGTCGGCCGGCAGCCTGGTGTGTGCTTCCTTGGCACGGTCTGGCAGGAGAGGGGAGCATGGGATCCCAGGAAGCTGTGTAGGAGCTGCTACCAGTCACGAAGCCTAGCTCTGAGGGAGTCTGGAAGAAATGCCAAGGGCTATGTGCCAGGCTAGAGGGTTGGGGGCTCAGGAAGGGCAGGCCCGGCCTTTTCTTTCTGTGACACCCTTTGTGAGGGAATCCCACTCTCAGCACACTCTCTTTCTGCTCCTCTTTCAGCCAGGATCACTATCCCCCACCAGCGGTGCCTCCCCTGCCTCTCCTAGCTGGTCAGTCCCTGCTGTTAAAGCCAGCACAGCTCTGCTGGCAGAGCCCTCCTCCCCAAGTCCGGAAGTGGGAGGGACAACGAAACCTCTAACTTGTCTCCGAGAGACCCAACCGCTGCTTCCTCTTCCTGTCCCCGTGATCTGGGGTTCGTGCAAGCTCTGCTCCACCCTTTTTTGTTCACCTCTGAGCGCCTTTTGTTCATCTCTCTCTGCAGTACAGTATACTTTTCTGGCCTTGCGTAGCCCCTCAGCCGGAGGCACAGCTAAGTGAGAAGAAAGAGGGAGACGTAGGGGCACAGAATAGGGGGAAGTAAGGTGTATTCAGCTGGGATTTCAGAGAAAGGGGGGCTAGTCACAAACACTCACCCCCCAACTAAAGCTCATTATCCACACAGCCACCTCATTCTCCCCTCTCAGAGTGGGGATGCTTTCAACTTCACCGACCTGGCCTTATATCTTAACAGCCTGACCGGAGCTGGGGATCCATCACATTTGTCTCACATGGCTGTGAAGCAGCTTTTGCATGGCTGGGCCACCTCAGTCCCTCTGCACCTCAGGGGTTCCTGACTGCAACATGGGGCGGATAGCACTGCCTTACTGCACAGGAGTGTTGTGGGGGGTCAGTAGGTTACAGAGGACAAGGGGCTCAGCCCCTGCAGTGAGGGGGGCCGGAGCAGACAGACAGAGACAGAGGGCTCAGCCCCTGCAGTGAGGGGGGCCAGAGCAGACAGACAGAGACAGAGGGATGCATGTGTTCTGGCTGGCACCGGCCCCTGAGATTCATCGATGGTGTCTCTTCTGGGTGAGGACCCTTCACAGTAGCAGGGCCTTCTGTTTTTACCACTCTTCCCCCACCCCCAGTGATGGTGCTGTCTTCTCTCCTGGCAGATTCTGTGAAATACCTCGAGTGCTCGGCCCTGACGCAGCGCGGCCTGAAAACGGTGTTTGACGAGGCGATCCGAGCAGTTCTCTGCCCCCAGCCCACCCGACCAAAAAAACGGGGCTGCAGTCTCCTCTAGGGTTAGGTGAGAAAGGGCTCTCCTCCCTTCCCGTCCCCAGGCTATCAGCCCTAAGGGGACTGATCTCTGTTGATAACCCCTCACCCCTTCTCTCTCTACCAGGGACCCTGATTCTGCCAGGGGTAGCCCTCTGCCCTGAAGAAAGACCCCTTGGAGGACTCCCCTTCCTGCCACACCAGTTTCCTTCTGTACTTCCTAATTTTACCCCAAAGAGAGGCTGCTGCTGCTGGCTTCTCCCATTGGGACTCCAAAACTTGCCTTTGAGCAGGAAACCCAGTAGTTTGTGTGTGGGGGTGGGGGTGCTTAATCCCCTCCCCTTAAAAATTGACTCACCATGCAAAGAATATTGCAAAAAGTCCCTCTCCCTACATTTGTCCTGCTTGGCCACTTCCCACTGCCCATCACCAGCAGCCTGGCTTATCTGCCCCTTCACATGCCTTCCCCTGCTCTTCCCACTGTGCACAAGGCAGCAGGGAGGCTGGAGAGTGGCCAGGGGGAGGAGCTGCAGCCGATCTGGGCCAGGTGAAGGAGAGAAAAGGCTCTCCTCTCTCCTCACTCCACAGCTCAGCTAGTGGGGTGGAGATGCCAGGGTGGAAAGTACGAGCTGGCTTTACAACTGCCTCCCTTTGTTCTGGGCACAGATTCCAGTCCCACCTCTTGGCTCACTCCCAACACTTGGCTCTGCCGATGCAACAGGAATTGAAGATTTCAGCACTTGGACCTTGGTACTACTTGGTGGTCACAGCGCTTGTTTGTTTCTGCTGCCTAGAAGGACCAGCGTGGGTCTGTAGAACTAGTGCATCCATTTGCACAATTTCCCTCATTGTGTTCATTTTTTTTATTGTATCCCTTTGGTATATATGGTCATGCCAATTTTCTTTCACAATTTGATCTGAGGAAGAGGGTCTGGCCCTCGAAAGCTCCTCACCTAATAAACCATCTTGTTAGTCTTTAAAGTGCTACGTAGTCCTGGTTTTTGTTCCTTGTTCCTCCTGTCAATTTCTGGGTAGGCAATGAGTCAATAAACCTGACTGTACCCTCCTGCCATGGGTGTCCTGTGTCCCTTCTCTGGCTGGTATGGATCCCTTAGAGTACGTGCTAATACTGTCTGTCAGAACTCGCACGGTTCCCCCAAGACACAGCAACCTAGACACGCCGTCCATTATGCCTACACTCGGGCATCCCCTGGCACGCACTCCCATCACCAGACACAGCTTCCCACTTCAAAGTAGGAATAAGACCCTCCGGAAAAGGGCACTTTTTCCGGAGGATCGGGGCCAGTGTAGACGCTCTTTTCCGGCTTTTTTAAAAGCCGGAAAAAAGCGGCAGACATTTTTATTTAAATGCCGCGGGGGATATTTAAATCCCCCGCGGATTTCCCTACGACGACTGGTGAAATTTACATGCCCCTTCCGGAAAAGGGGCCAGTGTAGACGTAGCCACAGAGAGGTAAAGCAGGAAAAGGTGGGGGGCGGGAATGAGTCACCAACCAAGGCAAATAGCCCACGAGTTTCTGAAAACCAATAGATGAGAGCTGGCCCAGCAGGGCGATAGAGTTCCAGCTGCCAGCACCTGGATGACTGATTCACTGCAGGGGCGCTGGGAGCCTTCGCAGCTGCTGCGACTAGGGAAAGCAGCATCATGTGATGGCTGTTAGGGTAGATTCCAGAGCATTACTTCTCCCAAGCAACCATACATCGCGGCTCACCCAGGCTTCCCTTCTCCATGCGCCCCCTCACCAGGAGCCTCACAGGATGGAGAAGGGCTCAGGACAAAGCAAATGGTAAAGAAAACTCCAAAGGCAGTAATGGGCTGGACTGAACCCCCTTTCCTCTCTACAACACAAGCCTGTGTTTGAGCTCCACAAGTCCTACCTTGCTTCAGGGAGTTTCACAGGTGAATGCTGGCAATGGCCAGTAACAGAAAGGGTTAAACCCTGGCGGTGGTGAGTTCCACAGGTTAATGTTGAGCAGTGCAGAGAAGCAAAGCTCACCTCAGTGACAGCCTGTGGCACTATGTTTCGTGCATCAACCCCTGATAACATTCTGTGGCAGTGGGCTCCACAGGTGCCTGCAGTGTGAGGCTGTGAGCAAGGTGGCAGGGCACAATTCACAGCTGGTCTGAGCACGGTAGGCACAACTCAGTGGAATCTGGCCTCAGATTCCTGGCACATGCATCAGAATGGGGTGGAGGAGAGATAAGTGCCAGAATCTATCACCAAACTCAAACGTTCAAAACTCCTCATGAGTCAGGCCCCCCAAAATCCTGAGAGTGGCTTAAAAAATCGGAGGCCCTCTCCCAGGCTAAAAGTGTTGACAGAAAAAGTTTTGGAACTAATTAATCCATTAAACAAAGGCTGGTTCACACCCCTGAGTGACACTGCTAAATGGATCTACATTTTAGGTATAAACCAGGCTTAAGGCAGTATTGCAGCCCAGTTGGCACAAAAAGGTTCCAGCAGAGCCTGGAACTGGGCTCCCAGTCTGCAGGCTGCAAGAATGTTGGGAGGGGTTATACGTCCTTTATAGGCCAGGATTAGCATTAAAAAAGACCTTGACAAATTGGAGAACTGGTCTGAAATCAACAAGATGACATTCAAGAAAGACAAGTGCAAAGTGCCTCACTTAGAAAGGAAAAATCAAATGCACAATTACAATGTAGGGATTAACCGGCTAGCGGACAGCCCTGATGCACAGGCTCTGCAATTATAGTGGACCACAAATTGAACAGGAGTCAACAATGTAACGCAGTTGCAAAAAAAAATCCAAATGTCATTTGGGGGTGCCTTGACAGAAGTGTAATAGAGAGGTAGCCATGTAGTCTGATTTTGCTAAAACAAAAGGAAAAACTATGTAGCAGAAATGGTGTGTGTAAGACATGGGAGGTAATTGTCCTGGTGGGGGCCTCAGCAGGAGTAGTAGGTCAAATTCAGGGCAGCACACTTTAGGAAAGATAGGGACACACTGGAGAGAGTCCAGAGAAGAGCAACAAAAATGATCAAAGGTCTAGAAAACCTGATCTCTGAGGGATGGTTGGACGAACTTCAGAAAAGAAGGCGGAGAGGGACCTGATAATGTGAAGGGCTGTTATAAAGAGGACAGGGATCAGCTGGCCTCCATGTTCCCAGAAGGTAGGCCAAGGAGTAGTGCAGCAGGGGAGAGTTAGGTTAGATATCAGGAAAAGCTTGTGAATGAAAAGGGGGGTTCAGCTCTGGAGCAGGCTTCCCAGGTAGGCTGTGGAATCCCGTCACTGGAAGTTTTTAAGAGAGGCTGGAGAAACACCTGTCAGGGCTGGTCACTTGGCCCTTCCACAGGGGACTGGACTTCATGATTTCCCAAGGTCCCATCCAGCGCTACGTTTCTGTGATTCTACGGTCCGCCTATGGAGTTGCAGCCTTTCCTAAAGGGGGGGGGGGGGAGTGGCAACCAGCAGGATTTCAGAGGCTGAGAAGGAGGGAAAGGGGCCCTCAGAGAGGAACAGGAAACAAAGAGAAATCTCTCCATGACGGAAGTGAGGAAAGGCGCTGGGGCAAGAGAAGCAGTTAGTGGGAGGATCTCAGTAGGAAACATGCTTAGCAATGTGGGGTTATTGCTTTTATCCAGAAAGAGGTGATTGTGCAGGGGGGCTGGATTTCTCCCCTTGCTACCAATCCCTTTCTGTGCCATAGATCAGACCCCAGGTCACAAAGGGGTGAGGTGGGGAGAGAGGACTCAGTCCCTAGGAGAGCTTCAGGGAAAGGGGATTGTGCAGACAGGTAGGAGATGAGAAGGAAGGAGCCCTGCTTCCCCATTCACTCACACTTGTCCTATGGGATTTGCTTGTGGGACAGAGGAAGGGAGAGGGGTGCAATGGAATCTGGGGTTCACCCCCCAGACCCTTTTAAACACCAATGTGCTGTGATGGTGATGAAGCCCCAGTTGTGCTTGTCTAGAGTGTAAGCTTCTCGGGGCAGGGAAGGGCTCTCCTGCATGTCTGTACCCTTCATCCCATGCAGCCCTATAGAAAACTTCTCCCTAGAGTGCGGGGCTCAGCCACCTGCTCCATGCAACCTGCCTCCCCTGCACTGCGTTCTCACAGTGCACAGCCACTCTCTGCTTCTCTCCTTCCCAGCTTTTGCTCTCCTCCACTCCCCCTCATTCTTTCTCCCTCTCTTGCTTGCCCTCCGTCACCATCTGTCACAGCCGCCCCCTCATTCTCCTTTTCTCCCTCCCTCCCCCCCCGTCTCCCTCCATCATAATCACTCTGGCCCTCCCCTCTTTTCCTTCTCCCTCCCCTACCATTCATTCTCTCTCTCTCTCTCATTCTCCTGCTCGCTCTCCCCCCCTTCCACCTCCCAAGTCTCTTCTGATTGGCTAGTGGGATCATTCCTGGGAGTAACTGACACACTTGATCTACCTAACCCTGTCCGCCAAGCCCCCACTTCAGCTGATGGAGAGCTGGAGAGGGGAGTCCCGGCTCCACTGAGCAGAGCTGGGTCTGGTCCCTGCAGCAGGTAAGCTCCAGAGACCAGATGGGAGTGCGTGATCAGGCAGATGTGGCAGTGCTGGAGGAAGGCAGGAAAGTCCCACCAGCTCTGGAGCTGCAGAAGAGGTGAGGGCAGCAAGCGACTCTGGAGAGAAGTGAGACAAGGGATTTCGGCCCCACGAGGACTCAAAGCACACAGGGATTCATTGCTCGGGAATTTCTTTTAAAAGGGGAAGAAACACTATGACACACATTCTCCCGGCGCGTGGAGGAACATGTCAATCCCGTTGACGCGTAAGTACCAGGCAGATCTGCCTCCTCTTTCCGTCCTCTCCTCCAGGCGCTGTCATGTGCAGAAGTTGGCGCTGCAGCCAAAACAGAACCTGCTGCTTCCTGTGCTCTGCTCTGTTCCCACAGACTGGGGGCTGGCGATGGCCATGGGATCTCTACCCATGCAGGGAGTGAGAAAGTCACAAACTAGAGGAGGAATGAAAGGGTGCAAGGCGAGGTGGGAGGGATGCAGAAGGTGCAGGAATCTAGGGGGGTGTTATGTACATTGCTTAAGGGAATTCTAGCTGGATTTCCCATCACTTACCAAGTGGATCCATCCTCTTTTCCACTGACAAAGATGAGGGAGAGGAAGGTTTCTTATTCCTAAAGGCTTCGGATTTCTTGGCTGAAGATAGGAACTGGCATTTAACCCACAAACAATCCCCACCTCCCTGGGAGACCCCAATCCCTAAGCATAACACACTCCTACCATTGTGACTGTTTATTTGAATTCCTCCAGCACTTAGCGCCTCCATCAGGTGCCACAGTACGAAAAGTCTGGGTCCCAAAGGGCTTATGATTTCATACCCCAGGCATCTCCCAGTTGTTTCCTCAACCCCACTGAGTCCACCACACCTGCCCCCTCCCCCCTCCTCAGCCCCCTCCCCCCTCCCCAGAGCTCCGGCTCCAGCCACACTCCCATGAGGCTCCGTGCCTGCAGTGCTCTCTCAGATCCCTGCTGCTCTCTATGGGAACTTACAGTTCTCCGTTCCTTACTTCCTGCCTTAAGCCTCTCCCCAGCCTCTGTGTACATCTATACAGCACACTAAGCATGGGCTCCCATTCAGGTTTGACCCCAAGTCCCCATCCAGCCATACACAAATCAGCATGCCTTGGGCCAAGGAGCATGCAGGACCTGGTGGGTCCAAGCCGAAGTCCCACTGGGCCTCAGGCCCGAGCCTCGTCATTCAGCTATGTGGAGGCAGCTCAAGCTGCAGATCTGAGCCAGGAGTAATGAATTATGGATGTGTTGGCCCCACTACAAGACTCAGGCTCAGCGATTGTGGAACCAGGCCTACAATGCAGCGTGGCTAAAGTGTGGGCTTAGAAACAGAGTCCACAAGCCTGGAGATCTGGGCTTTACTGTGTAGGGGGGCCCCATCAAGCTACCTGGCCCCATGCCTGCTACTTCTCTGAAAAAATGCACATGTATGTACATTACTGAGATGGCTCTGGGAAAGCATGGAAAAGAGCTCAAAGAATCATGGAAGTTAGAAACTGGAAAGGACTGAATTATAGAACCACTGGGTTAGAAGGGCTCACAAACGTCATCTGGTGTAATCCCCTGCCAAGTTTGCTATTCAGTCCCTTTTTCCCAGCCAGCACAGGGCGGCCCCTTGCAGTGTATTCTCAGGGCTTTGCCTGCCTCCTGTTAAGTGGCCCAAATGATGGGGCTTCCATTGGTGGGTCATTCCACAGCCAATAGACTTCACCATCAGGAAACCTTTCCTGTTATTCAGCCTGATTTTCCCATTGTTCAATTTCATTCCCTTACACGCTCCTGGGACTTCCCTAAACAATTCAGCTCCTTGGGCATTTCCACTCAACCCCTGTCATAAACCAGCAGCTCATTCAATGCAAGAAGGACAATGTAAAGAGGTCCCACCTATGTGTGATAGAGCCTCAAAGCAAAAGGTGCCCACTGGAATGCAGATACAACAGCGAGTGTGATACATGTGAGGCACAGTGGTGATCCGAGGAGGCATCTCCGTGGGGCTCGTCAGAACATGTTCCAATAGAATAAGAACCAGCCCAAACCTCAGCCTTTGCCTGAGGCTTCCAGAAATTTGATTAATTTTTTTTTTTTTAGATTTTTAATATCAGATCTTTGCACGTCCTGGTTTTGTACAATTTGAAAAACACAATGAGGGAAAACAGTTCTCGGTGTATTTCTGAGCTGCTGGAGGTGGTTAAGACTAGAAGTCATGTTCTATGAGACCCCCAGCCATTGCTACTAGAGAAGAGAAGCCGGGCTAAGCTTTGGAACTTGAGGGGTCTTATGGGCCCAAACCTTCGAGTGAGACTAGGGTGAAGAAGGTGCTGTCTATTCCTGAGGCTAAGCATGCATCCTTTCCATGCAAGTCCTCCCCACTTACAGATGGCTATTTGAGGAGATAATCAGGCAGCAGGATCAATACGCCAAGGGGTGACAAAGGCATGAGGCTGCCATTTAACATTTCAGAAGGTCCCTTCCAGATCTCTGATCATCTAAAAGCATCTCAGACATGCCACCATACATAGACTTCCCAGTGTAGCTTGGGGCCTGGGACTGTGTCTCCAAGTTTTGCCTGGGCTTGGCTGTAGCTCCCTAACCCTATCCCTAACCCTAACCCTGCCCCAAAGAGATGACAGATGAGAATCTCATCCCTTCCACTCCCTGTCCAACCAGTGCTATTGTCAGTGCAGAGCTGGCACACACACAGCAGTCTGTTTGTTCAGGGTTTGCTCTGAGCGAGCGAGTGCCGTTTCCATGCCAAAGCCTGGTGTGATGGGCATCAAAAGATTAAGAGGGCTTGACGCTTGTTTTGGTGCTATGGAGTGGTAAAGGCAGGGGTGGCCCCTTCCATTAGCAGGCTGGATTCGAGCAGGCTGGGAGGTGCTGGGGTGCAGAGAGAGCAAGAGCAGACGGTGTCTGGATATATAAACCCACCTGCCTCCAATGGGAACATTATAAATATTCCTTCTCCCCCTTTCTTCATGTGTAGGGATGGTGCAAACCTGCCTCTCCCTCTCCCCGGGCACTCACCCAAGCCTCTGACATTTGCTCAGGACTTCAAGGGGATTTTGCAGGTAGTGGGGGCGGACAAGAATGTCATGGCGACTTTCAGCGGGATCCAGTCCAGTTGCTCCAGCAGCAATGATGATACAGACGGCACATAGGTAGCAGACAGTCAAGGGCTGGGGAAGGGAAGGGGCTCTGCTGAGGGACCTTTCCTGGGAGCTCTTCCCCAGAATGTAAATAAGGAACATGCTGCTGAGCTAGAACAAAGAGAGTTGAGCATACACGAGAATCAGGCCACTGGAGATTAACTTCACCACCCCCTGAGCCATTTGCACTAGGAAACAGAAGCCTGTAATTGCTCCCTTGGGTCTTTTCCCTGGGAAGTCCCTTGCTTTATTTCAGGCCATTTTCCTGTTAGTCTCAATCTCCCAATGGTCATTCTTAAAACAGCTGGTCATGTCTGACATTCTCTCAGCTGCTCTAGCGACTCCGGAATCTGAACCCCACCCCCATCTCCTTCCCAGCTGTGTCTGTGCCCACATGCCGTTACGTCTGTCCTTTTACATGTGGCTTGTTTGCCTCTGATTTTTACAGTGTAAATTCCGTTTTTCTTCCTCTCCTCATGCCTCCAACTTTCCAGCTGATCTTCTGCTCGATCCTTCCTCTGCCATGGACTCTTCTGCTTTCACCTTCCCCACACCTGTGGCTTCGGAGGAGGGGAACACCTCCACCAGCTGGGCAAGTTCCATCCCAGGGAACCTATCCACAGCTGCCAGCCCTGGCATGGATGTCAGTGGAGTCCTCATCCCCCTGGTCTACCTCATTGTCTGCGTGGTTGGGCTGGTTGGGAACTCCCTGGTCATCTACGTGGTCCTGCGCCTCTCAGTGAGCGAGTCAGTGACCAATGTCTATATCCTCAACCTGGCGCTGGCGGACGAACTCTTCATGCTGGGGCTGCCCTTCCTGGCTGCACAGAATGCGCTGTCCTACTGGCCCTTCGGCTCCTTCATGTGCCGCCTGGTGATGGCTGTGGACGCTATAAACCAGTTCACCAGCATCTTCTGCCTGACTGTGATGAGCGTCGACCGCTACCTGGCTGTGGTCCACCCAGGGAAATCGCTAAAGTGGCGGACAGCCCGGGTGGCCAAAGCTGTTAGTGCCACCGTGTGGGTGCTGTCGTCAGTGGTGGTGCTGCCCGTGGTGGTGTTCTCCCATCTCCCCCTGGGGATGAGCACCTGCCATATCCAGTGGCCCGAACCAGCTTCTGTGTGGAGAGCTGGTTTTATCATCTACACAGCCACACTGGGCTTCTTTGGGCCGCTGCTGGTGATCTGCCTCTGCTACCTGCTCATTGTTGTCAAAGTCCGGTCTTCTGGCAGGAGGGTGCGGGCCCTTTCGTCCAAGCGCAAGCGGTCAGAGCGCAGGGTCACTCGCATGGTGGTCACCGTGGTGGCCGTCTTTGTGCTCTGCTGGCTGCCCTTCTACGTGCTCAACATCATCAATGTGGTCTGCCCATTGCCAGAGGAGCCGTCCCTCTTCGGGGTCTACTTCCTCGTCGTGGTGCTGCCCTATGCCAACAGCTGCGCCAACCCCATCATCTACGGCTTCCTCTCCTACAGGTTCAAGCAGGGCTTCCGCAGGGCCATCATGAGGCCGTCCCGCCGTGTGCAGAGCCAGGAGGTGGTGGCACGTCCCCGGAAGAAGACTGAAGATGAAGAAGAGGAGGAAGAGGAGGAGGAAGAGGAAACGGTGGAGAATGGTGTCAGTAAGATTGCCCAGAATGGCAATGGCGGACAGGAACATCCCCTGACCAGTGGAGCAGCAGGAGGCAGCGAGCAGAAGCCACTCCCGGAAGAGCCTGGGAACTGTGATAAACCCAATGCACTCAACATCAGTTACTTATAGTGAAGGGGTGGGGGAGGCTCTGTCCCTCTGTCTCTTGGACAGTCCAGCCTGTACTGGGGGGGTTGTGGGGGCTGCAGTTGTGCACAGCAAGGCACCAAGGCCCAAGGCTCCACCTGATGAAGGGGAGAGCTGGAGGAGTGTACAGACGGGCAGACATCATGGGAAGACCTGTGACTTCAGACATCCCTGTGGGAGGGGAAGGGCAACAGCATCTGGGTGGGCCTCGAATCGGGGACTGGATTAGGGTGTGTGGCAGGGTAGGAGCTTCAGAGAGGAGTCCAGCACTGAATCCCCCTACAACCAACATAGCGCACGGTTGCTGATTATTCTATTGTTCTTGCTGCCAAGCTGTCCATGGGGACCATACACTCGGAGGCAGAATCATGGGGACAATTCTTCCACAGCCTAACCCCTAGAGCGGTCTTCCCCTCCCTTTCAGCTGCTCTAGTATCCCTTGGGGACAACTCCCCACCACCTATGTGACCTGACACCATCTCAACCGCATGAGATATCCTGGCTCTTTAGAGGGCTCTCATGTCCCAGGTGCCGACAGATGTGATTGGGCTGGTTTAGAGCAGAATATGAGACATGTCCTTCGCCATCTCTTGATCCCAAGGGTTTTACTATGGTATTATTATGCTCTGATGGATGATGGCAGCAGACCACAACGCCATGGGTTGGGGGCAGTGCAAGCTGTAATTTTCACCACCCCTCTCCATCTTATTGTGAATAAATGCAAAGATTTAGGACTTTATGAACAATTTCAAAGGGTCAGTCTGTGCGCAAGTACGATTGTGCTGGAAGGATGAGGGCGTGTGGGTGAAAAATGGGAGTGTCCGTGGTCAGATCACTATGGGGGACTGAGGGGTAATTTTTTTGTGAACACGGTAACACCCATATAGGTGTATGGTAGGAAGTTGTGTGTGTGCTTGTGCATGAGTGTGTCTTCAGGGGTTTGGGACTGGTTTTTCTGCATGTGTGTGCGCGCACAAGACGTTTGTACAGGTGCAGGGGTTGATCTTGTCTCTAGAGGGGTATCTGTACAGGTACAGGGGGTTGATTTGGCTCTGGCAATGCCTGTGGGGTGTCTGTGCAGGGGTGGGTGTGCATGGGCAGGAAGGTGGATTTGTCTGCATATTTGTGAGGGCGAGGTGGCTGCAAATAGGGTGTATGTGTGAGCGTCTCTCCTTCTGCCTTGCTTCATTCCTGCAGACTCTGTCAAATGCCTCTCCCTATACCTTAAACTTTTCTATAAATGCAGTTGCTAAGCTACAATGATCAGAAAGAGCAACTTTAATCCAGCTGAGCCATCAGTAGGGATCTGGGCACCTTCCACCAGGGGCGACTTTGGGGAAATGGAGGGGCGTGGGGGCGGAGAGTTTAAAGACCAGTCAAAAGGAGAGCGTGCCCCAAGAGACAAGGCAATACTTTGCAGGTTTAGGCGAACCATGTCACTCGGGGGGTAGAAAAGCTCAATGGGCATTTCTGCAAGGGAGGGGCAAGCCTGATGGACTAGCTGTGTTGTCTTAGGGAGCAGCCCCGGGACCAAAACAGCAGAACAAGATTTGAAGCAAACTGCCGAAGGAGAAAAAGGCAGCGGGCCTGGTGAAGAAAGGCAGCTTTAATGATGAGACCAGTAGTCCAATGAAATCACATCCATGAGGAGATGTAGAAGCCACATCACTTAGAATCAGTATGTAGCTAAATGAGAACTTGTTGGCCAGGGATACCCACGCAGCCTGGGTTGGGCAAGGAGTTTACTAGGGTATCTGTCCTCCAGCTGGGCCAGAGCAGGATTGTCAGGGAGAGTTAACGATAGATATTGGCCCAGCTGTTCTGTGGCTCTTCTCTCTATGAATGGGGGTTGGTTGGGGTTGATCTCCCGACTCTACAGTTCCAACACTGGCCTCTCGGTGAGTAATAACCCTCCTTACACCCCACACCCTCCTTTCTTCTCCCTGAATTTGGTCTCTTGGTACCAGGCAATCCATGAGTAAGGCAAATCCCCACAAATCCCCTTTTCTGACTCCTGAAGCACACTCCTCCACCCCCCCTTGTGGCAGCTATTGCACATCTCTCTCTGGTGAAATGCAGTCCCTTTGCTTGGCCGGGGAAGGTGTAAATAGATCATGGGATGTGAGATTTCAGTGCCTTAGTCTCTGATCTCTTGCCTTGTAAATCACTTGTTGTAGTGGCTCTTCATGTCTCCTCCTTTCTCCTGTACCCCTGGAGACTCAATCTGTACGGAGATGCTCTCTCACGGCCTCTAAGACAATCTAGGAGCAAACCCACAGTGGCTAGGCCAAAAAGGCCATTCCGATTGTGGAAGGAATTCCCACCGTCATCTGGTCACCAGCAAGAGAAGAGATCATGGGATCCCTACAGAATCATGAAGAACTTCCAGAGCTCCCATCTTTGACAGGGTGCAAGAGGCAACAGACACTGGGGAGGAACAGGCCTCGATCCCCACAATGCTAGATGCATTGCAAATATGACCGTAATTAGGTAGATGTCTTCATCCTGCTATTAGATGGCATCACAGCCAGTAAAAGGGAATGCTGGGTAATTCTGGAGCCGAGTAAACCACTGGAGGATGTAGTAAAGTATTGGCATTGGCCTTCTGGGAAAGGAGGCAGCTGGCGGCTTATTCCAGAGCAATGAGGAGTGAGTGTGGCAGCCGGGAGAGGATGCAGCAGGAGAGTGGCAGCTCAGAGTACATTGGGAGCAGACACGAGGGTTTTCCATTTCTTCTTAGCTTGGCTACATCACTGCTCTAGCTCCTGCCTTAGGGGGATGGGGTCCCTGGCTGTCAATCAACTTGTTAATGTGCGAGTCTCCTTGGCCATAGAAAGAAGCCCTTACAGGCTGATGAAGGGGAGCTCACAGTCAGCCTCTGCAGCCCCCTCTGCTACAAGAGATCAGGAATGAACCCTCAAAGACATTTTTGCTTGCAACACCCAGGTACAGAAATGCTAGTCTGCTCAGCCCCACAGGCAGGAGGACTCAGAAGGCTGTTGATCTCACTAGGCTGTGCCCACTGGAAAGGCAGCTCTTCTGCTCCCACAGTGGAACTGGTTGAAAAATGATATATTCTGGAGAATTGTTCATCAGTTTTTATTTTTTCAAGGTATTTTGTGGAAAATTGCAACAGGTTCTAAATTTTGCATGGAAACAAGCATTCCCTCCCACGCTTTCTGTCTCTCCCTCCCTGTCCCCCCCTTTATTCCAACTGCAAAATATGGGGGATAAAGAGGGGAGAAAACAAATAGAAAATGGAAATGGGGGAAAAATCATGTTTTGTCTTTTTTCCTCAGAGTAAGAAAAATAATGTAATATCAAAAATCATCTGCAGAATTGTTCCTTGTTGAGGAAAAGGCTGTTTTTATACTGTCCCTGAGTCCCACCTACACCCTTACTCCTGGTGAGTTCATGACTGCAGTCTGCTTGTGGAGCTGTGTGTAAATGGCATTCATGTGATTGGCCCCGTGGAGCCCTTCTGATTTATGTCCTGCAGTGGGCTCTGGGAACAACAGGGGCTGAAGTCATGCACAGCAGCTAGTAGAATTCCGGACGTGTTCAGGGGGATTTGTTCTAATCAGACGTGGAAATGGATTTTTCTATTCTGGCAGCACAAACACTGAGATAAGGGTGCCATCAAACCCTCTGCCACACAAAGGGTTTCATTCTTAGCACGTACAGACCAGAGCTGCAAGTCTAGCAGAGGCCACAGTGCTTCCAGCCGCCCCTGCAATGCCTCTCCCCTGCTTGTTTCTAATCACAGGCAGGGTGCTTATAAATGTAAGGACCCCATGCTGCCAGCTCTGAAAGAGTATGTGTGTGTGTGTGTGTGTGTATGTGCACGCACACCCAAAGGTAGTATGTATTGAAAGCCAGACTTTGATTACTGACCTTGAAAACATACTCACAACACAACACCCTATGTACCTTCACAAAGCCAAATACAGTTGGCACCCACACAACCACTGAGTTGTACTTGATGGCTACTTGACCATAACCTGCTGCTGCAACTTCTTTGAAGAGAACTTTGCAGAGATGAAAAGGGCCATGGGGGAGGGGTGTCAACCTGACTGAGGGTAGAGCACAGTACAAGGCTGTGCTGCTTACACAGCCTGCACTAAACGTCCTTGGGTGTTGTCAGGAAGCCATTGTTACCATATGATCTGTATGGTAAAACAGTGGCTCCGGTGAGGTGAATGGCAAACCTACGCAGGGCACATGGCATGTGACTTTGCTTCAGAAATGTTTGCGAACATGGATCAAGGCTGCAGGCTGGAGGTGGTTTCTAAATAGCTCTTGATGCACGGGAACCAAACAGATAAAAATGCAGAGATGTGAACAGATTAGATGCTCCCTACTCTCCTGGGGATGCAGACGCGAACTGAAACCTTTCATCTGCTTGAACGAGTGGAAAATATGCAAATATTTGCTCATGAAAACTTAGTGTTCTTTGCCTTGCGAGGCAAAAGATATGCAAATGTCCACATAAGGCGCCCACCTCACACAGAACTCACACCCAGACACACAAAATACCCAGCACAGACACACAGCCCATCTGAACACACGGACACTCAGCGTAATGTGTACCATCTAATATGTATACACTTTGCCTGTATGACACAGCAGCAAACCCAAATACATATATACAGATGCACACATATAAAACACACGTGCATGCTGATTCATGTCTGGCAGCTAGGCAGGCATTTAGAAACAGTCTTGCAATACATCCCGTTCCCTTCATATGGCAATATATCAGGGTCTCCTGTCAAGTTAGGAGCAAGGGGCTGTAGATCAGACTGGAGTATTGGAAGACAACTCAGTGCTGGTTGTCAGCCAGAGGTGCAGCTGCACTCGTCTTTTCAAGTGCTGGAGTAGGCAGGGTTACATTCCTTGGGCACCATGGCTTCATCCAGCATGCACTGCAATAAATGGTAGTCTTCCCCTTGCCCTTAGTGGGTTTGGGCTGGATGCCATGTATGCCATTGCTGCCCTTCCTGCACAGAACAGGGCCAACGTGGGCAAGGCTTGGAGTAGAGGGGGAGTCTGGGGCTTTAGGTGCTGTTCCCTGTTTCATCTGCAGAGGGAGCTATTTGCTTACATTGGCCTCATGCTGCCTGGTTGCACATTCTCCCTACTCCTGTCCAGTTTACCTGTTACCAATCCCCCTTTTCCCCCTCTCAGAGCAAACAAATTTGAAGGGGAGGGAGTAAGGGTGAACTGATCCCAGCACATGAGCTACCCCCCCCCCAGTCCCTTGCAGACAGTTCTTAGTGGTGGCCAAGCTAACCCCACCGCCTGTGCTGCTTGACAAACAGCATGCTGAAACCAATGGCAAGACTCCCTCTCCTGCCAGCAGGCTTTGGCCGAGGCCCTTGGTCATTGAGCTACGAGTCAGGCCTGCTCCAGAGTCTGACAGGCCAGTGGAGGGAACTGCATGGGTTAACACTGCCTGGGGGGAGGGGGCGCACACCCAATCCGAGGGAGTAAAGAAGAAGAGCTTCTCCTCAGGGTAGGAGTTGGGTTATTTTGTCCAGCAGAAGCGGGGTCTCCTCACCCCAGGGCACCCAGTGCTGGGAGGGCACAGTCTCCTCCTCTCAGACAACGTGGCATTTTGCAGAGCATGAGTATGCTGGATAGGCATGAGGTGAATGGGAAGCAAGTCATATGACATATTGGGACCCACGTGTGAGTGGCTAGTATTGACCAAACAGCTTAGATGGGAACCCAGACCGGCCCTGCCCTCCAGCCATCCAACTGATTCCATCTGAGAGACCCTTTTATCCAGGTGTCCTGAGCATGCTTCATGCTGGGGTCCTGCAAGCGAGGCACCACAAATGCGGCAGAAGCCATTACCATCTGTGCACCATGAAGCAAATGTCATTGGGCTTAACTGGTAAAGAGGAAGAGCAGAAGCACACATCCACTCAGGCAACTCCTCACATTTTCCCAAGGGGTGTTAAAATCCTGCATCTGCCCTCCACAGGACATGGACTAGTTTGGGGCTCACGTTCTTGTCATTTCAGGCTCCATCCCTCCTGAGGCTGATGTGTGGGTGTCACTGCATTGGGTACAAAGGGCACTTGGTTTGCAGGGTAATGAACCACAAGCCTCTGGGGGGGCTACAAACATGTATTAATTTAGCCTCACAACACCCCTACAGGGTAGGAATTAGGGCTGAGATGATCAGAGGTGACTAATGATCTGAGTGTCCAACCTGTGCTGCCTTAAAGGGGTCTGGTTATCAGAGGACAGGAGCTCAGCACCTCCTTTATGTTGTCTTTTAGGCACCTAAAATCACGGGATACTTTTCAATATCTTGGCCTATCGGCCCATTTCACTGAAACCACAAGAACATTACTTGCCTATAACAATGAGTCAGAGGCAGAGTTGCGAAGAGAACAGAAAATTGTGTAATAGCTCCCTGTATTTTTGTTAGTCTCTAAGGTGCCACAAGACTCCTTGTTTTTATTACAAATCACTCACTCCTTTCCAGACCAGAGCTGGCTCTGCTCTCAAGGAGTAAGCCCTGCTCTAAAAAGAGAATCAGCTATTGAGTTGAACAAGTAAGGGGTGGGAGGAGGTAGGGAAGGAAGGAGATTGCTCAGCCTGGTACAGTCCAGAGTGTGTGGGGGAGGAACTTACAAAGGACCAGACCCTCCTCCAAGGCAGGACAGAAAAAGGCAGTAATTACATAAGAGCCTTGGCCAGCAGCTGCTTTCAATCAGCTGGGTCTCCTCTCACCCTTTCCTCTGGCAGTGCTAACAAGGAGCAGCTGAGGATACACGTAGCTCAGTGCAGGACCTCTCTTAAGGGGTTCAGAGGGAAGGGGTTCCCCACCTTCCACTCACACCTCAAAGCACTGGAGAACAGCAAGGGGTGGAAATAGTAAAGCCACTTAATGATAAAGGTTTAGTGGCTGAGGAAAAAGAAGGAAAGGGCTATTTGCTTGCCTCCTCATAGGCACAATACCTCTTGCCTTGAGAAACACCCAGTTCTGCTTAGTGGCTGTGGAAAATGCAAGGAAGTGGGGGGATGGAGAAGGGGCTGCGATTGGGCCAAGAAGGGGTCAGTAGAGGGGAAAGGAGGGGACATTAGCCCTTCCGGAGGGGCTGGCAGCCACTTGCATATGATGGGGAGGAGACAGTGCAGGGGTCAGGAGTTGTGTCTGTGCATGTGATGGGTAGGGAGGGACAATGTAATAAAAGGGATGTTGGAGAAACTCATTTCTGGCACCCTCCAGCTTCTGCTCAGTCCTGGGGAGAGGGGGAAGCAGCAGCTGCACTTGAGCAGGGCGTTCTCTAATCCAATCTGGCAAAAGCTTTCCTGGGTTGGCTTCAAGGCAGAGACAGAGTGAGAGCATGTGTGTGTGCAACCCCCCCGGCCCATGCTCCTGATCAGATGATAAAATAGCCCATGAACTCTTCAGCAAACTGTTTTCACCTACTCTGGTAACTCATGATTGTGGCACAAAGGCTGGAGAGAGGATGGAAGCCAGTATCAAACCTGCTTCTTTTTCAAGAAAATGTAATCCTATACATGAGATGTGGAGCTGCAAAAGGGACTGGAAAATATTCTACCTGGAAATAATCAATAGCTTCTAAAGGAGCAAAGCCAAGATGACTCAGAGACTGGTTTTGCCTTTGTATTCACTCAGTGTTGTGGCTTTCCTTTCATACCTCTCAGGAGGCTCCCATCGCTAAGAATAATTATGCCTAGCACGCCACAAAAATTCACTCATTAAGCCCACCCCTAGTCATGAGAGGTAGGTAATTCAGAGTTGTTGAGCAATAATCTCTGTCACTATCAGCTGGTACAGCTCCATTAGCAGGAAATTTGGCCCAGCATCTCCATTTTACATGTTGGGAAACTGAGGCACAGAGAGGTGACTGGGCATATCAATGGCAGAACCTGAATTAGAAGTCAGGTTATAGTTGTAAATTGCTGAAGAACATCTCTGCCCTGGTGAGACTGTCCTGCTGGCTAGGATGAAAGGGGCATTGTGGGGTTCCAGAACAGCAGGCAAGTCAATAACATCTCCAGAGCTTCCTCTCCCTCCTCCAGCCCACACTCTCTGCACATATTTTCCCAGACTTTCCATTTGCTTCTCCAGTGGTGCTGGGGTGCCTGCCAAGCCCGAGCTACTTCTCGGCAAAGCAGACGGCTGTAACTGCCTCTGACTCCCAAACTAAACAATTGGAAAAACTCAGGCACCAAGGCCTGTTAAATGTTCTCCAGCTTCCCTCTGAAATTACAGGAGCAGAGCAAGCCTGCTGAGTCGGCACTTCTGCAGTGTGGGGGAGGGAGAAATTGCTTTACTCGCCCCTCCCGCCCTTCCACATGAACAGGTTTCCAGGTCTGGCTTGAGAAGTTGCCTGGAAGGCCTCTGGCTTAGCTGCATGGGGAATTGAGAGCAAAGAATGCCATCTTGGCCACAGGTACGTCACATAAGGCCCACTCAGGATGGCATGATAAGATAGCCCAGGGCTGGCTACAAACATTCATATACATGACTGGTTAAAGGGCATTAGTTGGGGAAGAGGTGGTGGCATGGGCTTTCCCTGGTAAGGGCACATTCCAGAGCCTTTCCAGCTGGAAATGCCCTTTCTGGGCAAGCCTTCAGGCAGAGGATGTGACCCATGTGCCCAGCGCCGGACCGAGCCATTCCGGCGCCCTGGGCAGACAGTTTAATTGCGCCCCAGGATGGGGGAAGGCCCATGCGCGGCCCTGCCCCTGCCCGGCACCTGGGAGAGGGCGCACGGAGCTGGCGGCGGCAGGACACACGTGCCCAGCCTGGCTACTGCCGCTGGCGTGCAGCCCGGGGCCACTCGGGGCAGGCCGAGCCTGGCTGTGCAGGGCCCCACGGCCACGGGGGAAAGGGCGCTGCTGGCCAGCGCTGCGAGGGTCAACACAGCCCCCGCCCCGGGTGGCTGCTGCAGGGTGGCTGCTGGGAGCTGCTGCAGCCTGTGATTCGGGAGCCGGGCAGGTGGCGCCTGATGGCAGCTATAAGGGGCACTACGCGCCCCTTACAGCTGCCATCAGGCGCCCCCCCCATAGGTTGGCACCCCGGGCAGCTGCCTGGCTAGCCCATGCCTTAATCCAGCCCTGCATGTGCCAGACAGGGAATAGACTGATCCCTACCCTGTGAGTGTAGGAAATGGAGTAGAAATGAACAAGCCCAATAGGGCAGGGATGGGGGAACCTAAGGCCCGAACACCAGCTGCATTCCCAGCTTGCCTGGATCTGGCCCCAGAGACTCAGTAGCCTCCGCACCCCCAGCATTGGGGAGCCTGTGCTCCAGCCCCCTGCTATCCCACCCTGAAGCACACAAAACCTATTAGGTTGGGCCCAATGGGGGAAGGGAATGCGGGGAGTGTCTTCCCCCTTCTCAGTCAGAGGCCACGTCAATAGGGATGTGATTTTTTTTCTTCTCACTTGTGTGTGGCCCCCCACAGATTTTTTTTTTGTGGCTCAGCCAAACCCAGTTCCCCACCCCTGCCATAGGCAATAGGGCTAGGGGTGAGCAACAGCACCAGGGACTGCAAGGAGGGCCAGTAGCAGGGAAGGGCAGATGAGGGGC